CACTTAATATATCTAATATCTAATTGGGGTAGTCTATTCGGTGAAGTTCTATGCTAATTTATGACGTCACCAAAATCCTTAGGGAGCAGCGAGCCAATCAGAGCTCAACTCAGGAATTAGCAAAACTATAATCAGGCGAATTATTGTAAAAATAATAATTTATCATGAGTTTATAAGTCAACACACTACAGATACAGAAAGATGTCTTTGAATACAGCTCAATTCAGCTCTAAGGATTTCATGTCGTGGATAAAAATCCCTTTTCGACCTTTTCCAAACCTTTCAGATGGATATGTTTACTGTGGGCAGGGACAGGGCCCCCCTGCGTCATGCCCCCATCATGGGAGGGGGAAATGATCAACCATCACAATAGGTTACTTGGCCCCTGGGAATCTCCGGCTCTTGTGTACTCTATAGSCCACGTCCATTTCCTTGCACCGTATACAGATAATTTAGAAAACGTTGTATACTGAAAAAAGTGTATTCGAAGTTACTAAATCTGAGTCACATGCAGTCCTTGACTGCCTATTCTGCAGTGTTATATATGATTCATTTTTAGAAAAAGATGAAAACAGTAATTTTTCACAATACATTTTTCTTTTGAGTAAGACACAACTGAACTCYTTTATCTTATATGATTTCACAAACATAAACAATTACAGCCTTTTAACTACATAATTAACCAGTCGACCAACTAATCACCAAGCAGCACGACTCTCACCCACCAAACTAAATACTAACTCATCAACAAGACGATTTGGTACTAAATACATAACCAAACAGCTAGCTAACAAACCGGCGATTCACCCAACTGTCTCGAGTTTCATTATTTTTCAGGAGCAGCAATGATCAACGTTGAAAATGATCACAACACAGTTTACCAATTCATGTAACTTTATAGCTGTACCGTACGTTACGGGTTTGCTGTGATCTGTTATGATTTTAATAAATTACGTATAGTTTCCTTCGCTAAAACTCTGAGSTCTCGCATCCGCCAAAAATATAGAACAGGGTTAAGACTGGAGTTTAGGAAGACGAAGGGGAACATGATGTTAAGTAGTCCTCTAGAAAATGTGTTCCARTCCAACATGACACAAACAAGTAGAGTCCCCATATATGGTACAAAGCATCCAGCAAATGTTCCTACAATGTACAACATTGTAATGACGGACTTTTTCTTTTGCTTTAGYTGCACTCTGTCTAGATTTCCTCGCTTTTGGTCGTTTGTTTCGAAWGTGYTTGTGGGAATGATTGGGYAGATTTGTGTTTTTAAGAGACGTCTCACAGTTAATCCTATCTTGATRTAACAGATTATAGTAACAAGAAGAAAAAATACGCAAACTGTTACAAGAACCGCAACCAAAATCGTACAATCAAAAGCGAAACAGAATAATCTACAAAAAGTAATAAATATTCCTAAAAACCAAAGCACTACAATTGCTATTATCACACGGCTGACTTGAACGATGTCTTGGTATCTCAAATGAAGATGAATTGCTAAATACCGCTCAACAGAAATCGCTGCKATAGTCAGAAATGCGGTGGCAGAGAATAAAAAAGATAAGAGTTCACTCCCAATACCAGTAATGCAATAGACATCGAAGTTCATKAACATTTCACTWATCTTGTAKACRACACAAAAGGGTTGAGCAATTAGGCCAACGCCCAGGTCAGAGATGGCTAAACTGAATATCAAGCAAAATGGTGGTGTATGGAGCGATGGGTTTTTCCAGATCGTCGCTAAGACAATTGCATTCCCAATAATGGCAGTTATTGAAAGGATACAATTCAAAATGCTGCAAAACGCAAATGTCCATTTAATGTGCTGAACGTGATCAAAGCCAACGAAGAGGAAAAAGCAAGATTGATWTGTCTTGTTGGACGATAAATTGGTTGTCATGTTATTCGAGTTCTTGGTTGAATTCTGTGAGAAATTCTGAAGCTGATCTTCTTTGGCTGTACAGTTGTCGGTACTCAGTAGACGGATTTTGAACCAGCACCTTCTAAATGTCACAGAAATGATAGAAAGATGAAAATGATTTCTTTCATGAAAAGGGTCAAGGTCAATGTAGTGTTACACAAGATGAAAAGCATTTCGTTCATGAAAAGATCCATGAAGTCAATGACTCAAGACACTGACTAAAGTAATCAGAATCTTCAGCTTATAACAGCCACTGCACCGCTTTCACATGATTTATAATATTAACAAATGCGGAAAACGCTCAATATCATGCATTTGTTTCAAGTGAGACATCGTGAAGAGTTGAAAAATGGGAAATCGCACGCCTTTCCCACTCAAATCGCTGTKGAAAACTCCAAATTACGAAATGAAACCTTTAATAATAGATTAGACTGAGTTATTATTTGTAYGGTTTCAAAACTTTATTGACAGATAGCTTTGTACCAAAATTAAACTTCGTGAATATAAAAGGAAAAAGATCATACCAACAGGCAATACATCACACTTACAAAACACCGATCGTTAGAAAGAGTGACAATGTCACTTGATATTGCTTTGAACCTCTGGATAAATATAATTAAACTTTTCTGGTTTAATGAAAAAAAAGGTGTTGAGTCTTTATATTATGTTTGCTTGACGCTTTTGAACAATATTTGAATATAAATATTTCAATTCATTTAATAGATCATTGAAAAACATTCTCGAACTGTTTTTATCAGAGTTGGTCGTTGTTGAACGCTCTTTGATTTTCTTAACTGGACCCTCCCCGACCCGAGCATGGCTTTGGGTAAAAAACGGATTCACGCTTCATTCCGAATTTTACCAAAAAAGTCGAAAAATTAAAACAGCAGATCTTCTTGACTCTCTCTTTATGACCCTTTATGGAAAATAAGAATGTTTAGTATTTTTTTGTGTAAAAAATCAATGCCAGCGTGCTCAGTATATATTTATTATCTTGTTTTTTGATGTCGAGTAATAAAATGTTCCGACTAAACCAGCTGTTTTTTAAGTCATTTCCGCCACTGAATATGTCAGGTTCCCATCCTACACTTTGTTGCTTTTCTATGCCAGCAATATTTTCGAGTATTCCTCATCAATTGTCAAGGAAAATGATTAGGTTTGAAGTGCCGGCGCAGTTAACTGTAAAACGCGCGTACTTATTACTTAAAATTGTGAACTGTAACGACAAAGGATGAATTACAGAGTCTGATATTAAGATATTGGCGTCAAGATGAAATAATGCGGTCTAAAGTTTAATTTSAGCGTAAGAAATAATTAATCAAAGCGATGAATGATAGTTCCAGCCAAACAGCGTTAATAAAAATACAAATAAATGAGATAAAAAATACCTTTGCAGTAAATTCAGTTTTTTCAGTCATCTGATTGACTGATTAACTTATTTATTATTTAATTAACTTGTTTATTCATTTATTATTGAAACATCAATAAATATTGGCTAAAGACATTTATGTTCATTAAACCTTGTAGAAGAAGAAATCATTTAATGTATATTTTTTCATTTACCAAAATTCAATTTATGCATAATATATTTTATCAATTATAAATCGGTTTAACTGATATCATGGAGAAAATTCTTTGAGTGTGGGGTTCCTGTGTCAATAGTATTCGTACCCAGGCCTTAACATTGCATAACAGTATAAGTTCGGTTCTTAATGGTTGCGTCTCTATAAGTATTTTTTTTCGCCATGATCGGTGTATATTCTTTGCGAGCAAGCTTCAGGAGCTCTASTATTCTTATTAAGCAACTGGTAAGTGCATTTTTTTAAATTGAATGTTGAGAATTGCTTGATTTAAAACTCGATAATATCGAAAACAATTTCTTCTCGCACTGGCTGTGTAGTGATGCCATTGACATTCCATAATTTCTGTTACATTTTCGTAAAAATAATAATTTGATGTTAACTGAAATTTGTATTATCTTTTACTTTTTTCCACCACATATTGCAATCCACGTTTGGCTGCAAACATAGAATATCAATATCATTCTGATTTACCACAGGAATCCCATGAAATACTCACTAGTTTTGCAACTTTTCTGTTATTTCTAGATTTCATCACAAGCTCACAATGTGTRTAACAAAGGATTAAAAACAGCTAAACCAATTCACCAGGCAAAAACGGCAATTCAAAGAGCATTATGCAGTGAGGCTCGCACAATACCTTTGTCAGAAACACCAAGAGTTAGAAAGATAACAGGTAGATTGCAATTGTGAAGCATAATGTTCCTTATAACTGATTTTTGTGTTTTTGATGCTTAGACTATATTGATATAAGGAGAGACATTCTTGTTCATTTCCCTTTCTTCTTCCTTCTCTCTCAAATCCCTCTATTTGGTATACACTACCCATTTTYCCCATTCTTTCTATTTGGATAATCATCAGCATTATTATGGATGATTTTTCAGGGTATTGGCTGCTTGGATGTGCAGGAATGACATTCTCAATGGTGATCCTTGGTGGTGTAACAAGACTWACAGAATCAGGTTTGTCCATGGTGGACTGGAACCTAATAAAAGGAATGAAACCACCAACCAATCCACAGCAATGGGAAGAAGAATTCAAGAAATACCAACAATTTCCAGAATACAAAATGTAATTCAACAAAACTAGATATATATTGATAGATTGGCATGTGAAACACAGCAGCCATATTGGTTTCTGTCTCTATTGTTGTAGTTCCTGATGAGTAATTGGGGTTGCTATGGCAACTGCAACAAGGGAGACTCTTCCAGCAGGGAACCATATTGGTATACATTTAAGCAAAAAAAGTTATGTACACCAAGATGGCTTCCATCTTTTGTTGCTGTTTTTATTCATCCTTTTCCTATGTAACTGCAAACTGAGGGCTTTTACTTTGTGTACCGGAGCACAGATTACGTATTCAATAGAAACAAAGGGTTAGAACAACRGAGCAGAATCTAAACAATACCCCGAAATACAATGAAACCTACAATACTTTCATGTACACAAAGAAGGGCCCAAACTAAGAATACACTAGTATATTATATTATTTTAAGGAGAAAGGGAGGGGGAATTGGAATATATTATCAAAAAGCTTAAAATCTTGGAAATCTTCATCTTCCAGATCCAACCAAGGCATGACACTGGAAGAATTTAAGCGTATTTGGTATATGGAGTATTTYCATCGTATGTGGGGTAGAGCAATTGGTTTGGTATATTTCATTCCAGCAGGTGTTTTCCTGGCTAAAGGATGGTTCAATAGAGGGATGAAAATTAGGACAGGAGTTCTTGGTGCACTCTTGGTATCACAGGTCAGTGAATGGGAAAATGATTTCAAGTGCTCATAATACATAATAGATAAATGTGGTAATTAAACAAGAATATTGTTGCCTGATCGATGGTTTCATAAATGTTGGAATTGCATTTAATTTTAGGGACTTCTTGGTTGGTACATGGTSAAAAGTGGTTTGGATGAAGAGCTCATTAGTAAAACTGAAATCCCTCGAGTSAGTCAGTATAGACTTGCCTCTCACTTGTCTCTAGCATTTGTATTTTACTCAGGACTTCTGTGGTGTTCATTGTGCCAACTGATGCCACACCCCAAGGTAGGTCATGTACACAGGAAGCCCAAGAGAAGGTGGAGTGTTTGGAAAGAAAGTTAGTAA